TTGTCCATTCATACTTGTTATTGCCTGCTGTCGTCACCTCACACTATCTCTGATTAGAAAAGCTCTCTTACAGCTTCCTTTCTGGACTGCTCTATTGATCACCTGGCAGGGGGTGTTGAATGTGTGATCCAGATGGCCCCGTCTCCTTCACCTCCCATGACCTCCTGCCCAGGAGAATTACCTTGATTTTGCAGATAGACTGTGGTCCCGGTTTGGTATTGTAGTGCTGGATTGCTGATGCTTCTCTTTCTCCTGTTATCTGATTTAGGATATACTTAAATAAAACGGTCAGAATTCAGGATGAATATTCTGGCTTTCTCTTTTTATCAGCAAGGATGTAGTATGAGAGTGATGAAATAAAAAGAAGTCTGCTGAAACCCAATCTTTTTGAGTTCTATAAAGAAAATCTGCTTTAACACAATGCACTATATCAGACTCACCACCAGTTTTACAAGAGTTCATGTGCTTCCTTCTCACCTCTCTTTCTCTGGCACAGCCATGAAGATTTAGAAGCCTTTGTTTCCATTTTAGAGTGCCATCTGAACCCAGAAAACTGTGCTGAACCTTCCTTATAGTTTGTTGAAACAAGCCAACTTCAAACAATAGCTTTAAGACAGTTAAGCTTAGGCACCATTGGGAGGCTGGACATAATGCTAAACTGTGGTTGATCTAAAGTGGGATTGGATGTTTCTGAACACCTTGTGGCTGCGCTGGAAGATGGGCAGTGAACACATGAGTCCAAAGCTTGCAGCAGTTTGTGGTCATAATGCTAAGCCATGGCTAACTTTACCATTGCATGCAAAACAGCTTCATGTTGAAAACAACCTATTCTTATGTAACGGCCTAAAACTGAGTTACAGACTAAATCTCCATTTCGGGCTATACCACAAGGTTTGAATTTTCGCACTCTGTCCAGGAGTTGCATAATTCCTTCCCACTCCCAATATGTAAACAGGCACATGCAGGATCACTAAGGGCTCATTCACACATAATGCTTTGAGAAATATACAGAAGTGGAAAAGCCATGGCTAACTAGAGGCAGCTCATAGGCATTGCAAAACCTACTTTTGTTACTTTTGGTTTATTACTTATTTCACAACATATTTTGTCAATGATTGATCCTGTATGTCTGGTGCCCTCCTTGTGTTGTTGAATTGCAGCTTGAACCAGCCCTGGCCATTGGTCAGTGTGACGTGGGTCTGATAGGATTGCCCTCTTAGATATTTATTCCCATGATGTATTTTTTTAAAATGGTTAAACAGATTTTAAGATAATCTGATGGGTGCTCATGATTCATTTTTATAAACCAATACAAGTGTAATTTTTAATTTGTTAGTAAAGGTAAAGGTAAAGGTACCCCTGCCCGTACGGGCCAGTCTTGACAGACTCTGGGGTTGTGCGCTCATCTCACTCTATAGGCCGGGAGCCAGCGCTGTCCGCAGACACTTCCGGGTCACGTGGCCAGCGTGACGAAGCTGCTCTGGTGAGCCAGAGCCACACACGGAAACGCCATTTACCTTCCCGCTAGTAAGCGGTCCCTATTTATCTACTTGCACCCGGGGGTGCTTTTGAACTGCTAGGTTGGCAGGCGCTGGGACCGAGCAACGGGAGCGCACCCCGCCGCGGGGATTCGAACCGCCGACCATGCGATCGGCAAGTCCTAGGCGCTGAGGTTTAACCCACAGCGCCACCCGCGTCCTAGTTAGTACTGCGTTAGTACCGCGTTAGTACTGAGATTTAATTAAAAACCTAGTTTAAAAACCCCAACAACAGACAATTGATACAACTGGAATTTTAAAAATCTAGTTTTAAAAAAATTAAATGAATTGTTTATGCAACTTGAAAGTAATATTTTAAATGGGCCTAAGAATGTAATTTCAAAGTGCTTTGAAAGCACTGAAATTAATGGTACTTACTTACACATAGGGATTGAAATATAAGGGAATATTTTAAGCTCTTTGTAAAGCTTCTTTGTCAAACCATAACAAAGTAAGCTGCAGAAATATTCAACAACTGTGAAATAATGTTAACTTTTGCTTATGAAAACTGAAAATAACTGGAACCAACATTTTTTAAAAAAATCTCCAGCTCTTATTGTCAGCATTGTGCATTCCTATGGCTGCGGTTGTTGTATCCTGTGCTACCACAACAGATTCTTATTCTGAAGCATCTCTGTGTACTTCATAAATTGCATGACTGAGCAATCACATTGTCTGCCTGTTTTTTAAACTTAAATACTGGTCACCAGGGGGCCGGGGGGTGGTTATAAATATCATAGCTCATGCAAAGTGGAGCTTTAAGTCTCCTCTCCCCAACTTCTGTCTCTGTAAAATTTGCTCCCTGGTGTAGTAAAAAAAAGAAGAAGTTATCATTGGTGTAAAATGGGACCCTAATGCTAATTGCTGCTTGGGAGGATGAATTTCATTTCAGCGCAGCTGTGGCAGGAATTAAGATTGTTACCAAGCTGAGCAACATGTAGCAGTGTCCAGGAAAACCCCACAAAGACTTGCAGTTGATACCTACACACAAACACCACTTCCATTAGTCAAAGCAGCATTTCATTAATCCACTAATTAATCCTGAGGGCTATGATTTAGCTGTAACAGCTGAAATTGTCTGTTGCATGGGATCCTGAGCTAAGCAACAAAAGAATGAGGACACATCTATATGATCCAAGGCAGGTCAAAGCAGGAATAACGTTTTGTTATCAGATGCCAGTGTCGCCTTCTACCAGCATCTACTGAGTTGCTTGAATCCTAACTTTCGCATTCATTGAATGGGGAATTCCCACCTTCATCTTTCCCCTGCAGCCCCTCAGAATTTGGGGGTTTGGAGGATATTGTGTAAGGGGACTGCAGTGCAGTGGGTTGTTGGTTGAGATGGTTCTTCCTCATGTGAGTTGAGATCCAAGCCATATTCTTCAAGAGCTACAAATGCTAAGGTTACAAAGGACATTGAGAACAGTGTTCCTATCAGCCCTAAAGCCACCCCATTAAAGCAAAGCTCTTCTCTGTAAACAAAGAATGAAGGTTGGAGGGGGGGGGAGGATCTCAGCACTGGCCTGTCAGCAGTCATCTGCTTATGAATCTTTCCAAACTTTCCCCTTGAAATGCAAAAAGCCTCAGAACATTAAAATGTCAACTGGATTAATTAAATGTTTGAGTCCCAACAGCTCCTGCAGTGTCCAAAGGATGACAGCATGGATTAGTGACATCAAGGGTCACAAGAGATAGTGTCACGTTTCAAACAGATGTGAAATGGGTAAATCGGAGCGCTTGGGACAGCTTTCGGGCTTTGTTAAAAAATATTTGCTCAAATCCTTTTATTCAGAGTTAATGAGCTAAGGCAGGGTGATGGGATAGTGGGGAAAAAGAGAGGCAATCACATTTTACAAGTACACTACTGTTCCCCCACCCTTCGGGTGACTTTATTCCTAACAGTGTTAAAGCATACATAGCTAATCTACTAAGACCCATAAAGTGGTATCACACTGCTTCAAATGTATGGTGTGGGTGTAAAATGTTCATGATGTGACTCCACATCGTAAGATGGCTGAGGCCTGGTTCAAAGATTCTGGAAATCAGACTAACAGTTTAGTAATGCTGCCAAAGTATGAGGGGAACTAATGAAGCATGGTCATTCTGGACAAGAATACCATGATCAGAGGGACTGACATCCATCCAAACGTTCCAGTGAATAGAGAGGATTCAACATTGCTCTGTCATATGCCAAACATGGATTATACAGCAGGGCAGCCAAGACAGTTTTATTTCTGAAACCCAGTGGCTGCCAAAATCAGTTAAATGCGTGGCGCTGAAAACCTAGGGGATCAACTGTGGTGTAATCAGGGTTACTCCTTTTGATGAACTTTTTAAAGAACAGTCGTACCACAGCATTATACAACTTCCTTTTGCGTTTGAAAACGTGGGATGAAAGTTCTGTAATACTATCAGCCATGCATAAAAGTGAAATGGTATATTGTATGTTTTGCATTTCGTTGTTTGTTTTGCATGATAGCCCTGATTTTTGCAAGGAGGGGGAATACAGTAGGCTATGAACCACTGAAGGCATCTAACTAGAAGTTATGCAGCAGGAGTCACAGCAGGAGCAATCCAGCTGATCTGCTTTTAGTTAAATAAGATACATGAATAGAATGGGTTGAGGTAATTAAATTGGATGGTGACACCCAGATGGCTCTAATGATGAACAGCTGTGAGGTCAGGAAAACATACTGTACTTTTGAATACAATTAATGACTATCCATAAAAATGGCCATAAAGTGACCGTTATAGATGTCCCACCCCGCAGTCAGCACTGTTGTCACCAGCAATATGGGGGTGGGGGGTGGATTGTCATATTCATATCTTGTTAAGACAACATCAAACAGCTGTACTTTGATGTTGCCCTGCTTGATGCAGAACTTAGTGTTCTTTTGTTCTTAAGTGCGCAGTCACTTTAAAGCATCAATGGCCCGGCCTTTCTGGCCTCCTTCACACACAGAGACAGTGTCATGGGAATAGTTTCAGTGTGGCACAGTTGCTCATTGCAGGGCTGTGTGTGTGTGTGTGTGTGTCTGTCTGTCTATTATAACCATGTGGACTGTGCCAATTGTGTGGATCTTTCCCATGCAATCAGTAGCCTACTGGGAACGAGGCCCTCATTTGTATGAAGTGAACATTAACATTTGACCACAGAAATATGCCTTTGACAGACATACACGCTGTGCTTCTTTGATCTTCTAAGACAGTACGTTCTTTTTCCTGGGCCACATTTTTTTTAGACCCTGGTCATGGTTTGAAGGAACACAGTGCAGCACCATTTCTGATGCGAAGCATGTCTGGATCTGGTCATTGCCTGGATAGGAGAACATTGGTAAACCCTGCCTTGAGGAATAATATCTGAAAATCCTGTCTGTGCTGTTTTGAACTCAGAATCAGAAAAGGGTGATATAAGTAATAGTAATAATTCTTTTAAAAATCTGATGTTTACCTTATTTTCAGGAGAGCGGCCATACCAGTGTCCTTACTGTGACAAAGCTTTCAGCAAGAATGATGGGTTGAAAATGCACATTCGCACCCACACAAGGGTAGGTATGGCTCTGTTAACTTGTGCTATAGCTGTTTGTTTGACAGCCTAAAGTGAACCATGGAAATAAAAATATATTGTGTAGTAGGAAATCTTTTCCCCAATAAAAAGGCAAATTTCAAAAGGAAACGTTACAGCAAGATACATATTCATAAAACTTTTCAACTTGAATGTCAGAATCTGTATCAGATTCTGTGGAATCGCAAAGTCGTTTTTCTATCTGCGTTGTATGATTACGTATTTCATGGTAAAGGGTGGTGTGGCAAACTTTTTGTTGCATAACAAACCTTCGTATTTAATCCAAATACCCTTGTTTCTAAAACAGAAAACAGAGCATTTCCACAGTCATTTAACTCAAGCCATGTGTGGCATGATGGTTTAAAGAAGTTTGAGACATCATGACTGATGGTCAGATAAGAAGATGAAATGTCACTTACCTCATTGCCTGTGACAAACAACACTATTGGAAATCCTTGCAGCCATGCTAAGTGTGATTTGCAAATACAGAAAGCAGAGACAAAAAGTCTGTTTGAACCCTCCAAGTTTAGTCCCCTCATGTTGTTTACACACTCTCTTTCTAAAATCTGAAAGTCTTTCTTGTTTATAATCCACTGAGATTTTATGTAACTTCTTGCCAGTTTATGGATCTTTTATTTGTAAAGAGTTTTCAGTAATGCAAATAAACCACCTTCACTTCACACCAAGCAAGAACCCAACATGGAGCCTGCTCTTTGAGTTTCTGAGTGAATAGATGACTGTTTGACATGTTTTATCACAAGATATAGTTGAGCCAAACCTTGCTTTAGCTGCTGTGATACACTGTACTTAAATGACTGGAGAAGAGCAAAGTGAGGGCAAGCTCCTCTCTGGGGCTGCCATATTTGTGCAGTCCCTAAGCCATAGTTTGTTGTACCATGAGACCTACGAAGGATGGGATTCTGAGCATCTTTTTTTTCTTTTAAAGCCCAAGAGATATACGGTATGTACATGGAACATATGTTGTCCATGGTTGCTTTTCATACATGGACACACTAAAGAATTGTAAATTATTTTGAAATGTTCCCTATATCAGCACACCGCACTGTTCCTTAGTTTTAGTTGGTGGTCGTATTCACACCAAACATGTAAAACACACTCACACCCCTTTAAACATAATGGCTTCCCCTGAAGGAACTGTAGTTTATTAAGGTGGATGGGAATTGTAGCTCTGTGAGGGATCTCCTGATAAGTCTGAGCATCTTTAACAAATTACACCCCCCCCCAAGTTTACTTGATTACTATGGTATACTTTTTACTGCCATGACTGTTGAAGTGGTTTAAGAGTGCTTTAAACGTATGGTATAGATCCGACCAGTCTCTCTCTCACCCATTTCCCCGGCTGATAAGCAGCATTGTGGGAGATTCATCAGCATCATAGCAGAACACCCCCCCCCCATGTATTATCCTGATGAAAATTCCCATCTGCTTTTAATTCTTTTTAAAACGGATAGTCTTTCTAATGACACACCTAGCGTCATGTCTAGTTTGGCCCCAACTCAGACTATCGGTCTATCTAGCTCAGGCAGAGCACTAAGCCTTCATAGCTGAGGTCTTTTAAACTGAGATTTGGGGGTCTGAGCTTGGAGCCTTCTAAATACAGTGGTACCTCGGGTTAAGTACTTAATTCGTTCTGGAGGTCCATTCTTAACCTGAAACTGTACTTAACCTGAAGCACCACTTTAGCTAATGGGGCCTCCTGCTGCCGCCGCGCCGCCAGAGCACGATTTCTGTTCTCATCCTGAAGCAAAGTTCTTAACCTGAAGCACTATTTCTGGGTTAGCAGAGTCTGTGACCCGAAGCGTATGTAACCTGAAGCATATGTAACCTGAGATACCACTGTACAATGCATGTGCTCTGCCAGTGATCTAAGTTCTAGGTTTCCTGAGAATGTTGCAATAATTTCCATCTCAGACAACTACAGAATCTGACAGCATCTGATGTTTTGACTGATTGCTCTTTAGTTATGGTTGTTATCTTTAATGTTTAATGATATCCTTTAAAACTTTAAGGAAAAGCACATGAAGTCTATAGAACTGAGGTGTTCATTTTTCCCCCTTTTAAGTCTGGAGATTTAAACAAGATTATGATTTATTACTAATTGAACATCCTTTTTATTGCTCCAATGAAAAGTTTTAAACCTGCCTTTTATTTTAATGCTTAGACACATGCTTTCCATATTAAAATTCTCAGCATTTAAAGAAAACAAGCAAAGTAGTGCTCCTGAACTCCTCATTTTTACTTTCAAAGGGAGCTAGTCTGAAAATAAGCTTTTCTTCATTTGTAATCACAGGCTTATTAATACATTTTAACTTAATTTTTCTTCACATAGCTAAGAAATTATTAACATGCAAACAGAAATTAAAAATGCTTAGGGTGCAAGTAAGGCCCATTGAATTCTGTGAGACCTGTTTCTGAGTAGATACGCCTAGGATTGTGCTGTTAAAGTTTAAAATATAATCACATGTTTATTGGTTGCCCCACAAGGCAAATGCAGAAAAACAATTCAGAAGTTATTGGCTGCAATTTACTTGACAGTGAACTTGGTTGTATGCTAATAGTTGTGACCATCTTTAAAGTTGCTAAAGATGATTATTTATATACAATATATGATCTATGATTATTTTTTTATTTGCTTATCTGGTTGCTGAAATGTTGGCACATTTCAATTTATTTCACATTTCAACTGATTTACTAGAATTCCCATCCCATCCCTGGATTTGACTGTGCAAGACCTCTTCATGGCGATGCAGGAGGAGAATAACTGAGGCTCAGCTTTGCTTAGGCTGATTTTCATCCCACTAGCTATGGTTTAGCATGGTGTCCAAACTTCACCCTGCTTTTACTGTCTCTTGCTTTCATTGAAGTTAATGGGACTAACATACGCCATATAGCGGTCTAGGCTTGAGCACCTGATTGCTAGATCACTTATTACGTCTTCGTAGAAAAGACGTTTCCACAGCTCTCGGCTGGAAGCACAATAAGGGCTTTTTAGGGCTTCTTTGCAACTTTCACAAAGCTCTGAGCTTCAGATGTTCAATAGCTAATAGCATATAGATAAGTTTTTATTGTCAGCTCTAGGATGCAGCAAGCTATTCTTAGAACCTGGTTGCCTAGTGGCTTAAATGCAAAAATGCCCCCTCATCCTGTGGACTGCATATAATGTCTTGCAGAATCCCACATTGCTGTGTTTTGGGATATTCTCTCAGTTCATTCAAGTCAATGAATGGCTAGAAGTAGGGCATCAGAAGGATAAAATGAACAGAGTATGTAAAACAACGTCAAAAAATACTTTAAACATATTAAATACTATGAGCCGATGTATACATCCACACGCATGATTGCCATGCAGAGTTGTGCACCATTGCTTTTGGGATTTGAGTCTGGTGTAGAATGCACATGGGCATCACTTCCCCATGGGTACTGAATCTGTTTCTGGCCTGAGATTCATAATGGCACCAACTTGGTTGGTTGGAACTGGGGAGCCTGTGAATATCTACTCATCTGGAGATACTACTTCGTGCAAATTTGAGATGATTATATGGAGGGGCCCAAATTGGTGGCTTCAGTGACATGTCGACTGCACACTATGCTGTCATTCAGTGTTTGATTAATGGTGTGATTAACCTGCTGGAGAGAAACGGGATGTGTTAGCAGCATTCTTGTTTTCGTCACAGAAGTGATGCCGGCCTAAAACAAAATGTAATTCAGAATAAGTAATGGACTGAATTTGATTGCTAACTGAATGCTAAATAATGTTGTTGCTATTCTAAAAAGATACATAATTCCTGTTACCCTTTGGCATGTTCAGAGAAAATCTTCCAGTCTCTTGTTGACTTAAAGACATTGGCCACAATCCAGCATAATTATGTATTCTGAACTTCCTTTGAAATCAGTAGAATTTAAGAATGCTTACCTGTGTCCTAGATTGCAGCCATGGCTTTTACTACTGCTGTGGGTTTGTATTTGACATATTTTTGGAACCTACCTTTATAGGTTAGAGGTTTCTCTCTACTGAAGATGACGAATCATCGGATTTTCCAGTAGAGGGAAATGCATTTTAAAAGTTTACTGCTGAGAATGGAACAAAATATCTCTAGGCACCTCCTGTCTGAACCAATTTCCAATAAATCCTAGGGTTCATTAAGATTTCAGGTTTATTTTCTCACAAATCTATTGTAGTTCCACAATTATTATTTTTTACAGTTCACTGTTATGCTTCTATGGAAAACTGAAAAGCAATGGATCTGGTCGGCAGTCCTCAACATCCCTGCTTGACATCACCAGGATTTCTGAAGGGCTATGTGGTTTATGGAGTGAGATATTCACCATGACTAGCAATAAAATAACTTTCCCCCATTTTTCTTGACTTTTTTTTTTTAAAGCTACATTATGGCTTTGGAACAGTAGTCTGCTACCACAACTGTTACACAAATAATTTCTTTAAATTGCAATCTAAAAGGAAGGACTTTTCCCACTCTGCCTCATTTCATGAAGTCCATAGTCAGTTTCCAGACCAAAGAGGGTTGTAAGAATTTCATAGGTTCTTGTTTCTTTTTTTGTTGGTAGCATGCCTAACTCCATGGCAGTTTGCTGTTAACTGTGCTCTTGTGGGTAGATCAACTATGCAATGTGTGGATGCTGATGTTATTGCTCTGCTGTATACATGGGCTGTATTACATTGGCTGCCAATTGAGTTTTATTCCCCAAACTAAAAGCAAAAGGCAGCGATTATTTACAAGAATCTGTGAGGAAAGTGCATGATTTTTAACACTGGAAAGCATTAGCATAATCCCAAAATTTCATCTGGGATTTGTCATTTTTGAGCACACGTATATGTGATCTTTTTCCTGTCATGCAGTCCCATTAAGCACCGTAAGCCCATATTATTAGACTAGTCAGATTTTTTGAAAATGTGAAATATGAAAGCATTTGTGTTTTGGGGGGGTGTGCATTATCAGAAACCAGTTGTTTCTTCATTTAATATGAAGTGCTGGCTTTGAAAGTTTAGGTTGCAAAATGTTATACTCTAGGGTTGGTATCCATATTGGAAAGTGGCTTCTAATTTTCCTGTGTCTGGACAGTGCCATTGCCTACCACAATTGAGGACTTATTCCTTAAGGGCTAAGGCTGTGCTAGACACCTTGACTTGACACCTGATTTTCTATGTGGTATCCTATAATATTCAATCATGACTGCCATCTGCAATCTGCATTCTGAACTGGTACAGACCAGATAGAGGTTTACCACTTCATTTGTGAAAACTTTGCCTTAGTTTTCCGCAGGCAGGAAGATTTTCATGTGGGGATACTTACGAACAAACTTATGCATTCTGAGGTGCTGGTATGATCTCCTGAGAGGATGGTACTGCATGCCTGTATGCACATTTTAGCCATACTGGAGTAAGCCCAAAGAAGCAACTTTTATTTCTGCAAACCTTTCCTCTTCTAAAGAAAATGTTCCACTAAACAAAAGCAAGGACTGTAAATAATAACAACCCTCCAAGTTTCTATTACAAGTAACTGATACTTCAGGCACCAAGAGAACATTAACAATGTGGAAAAAGATGTCGCCTGGCACGTTCTCCACACTAGTAAATCTATACAAAACATAAAGATAAAAACTATAGCAACAATTTGGGAAGAGAATTAATGCCATTAGGAAGGACAATGGGGACACTGAAGACATTAAAAGAAAGATGAAAAGATCTAAAAGCACAGAAAAAGAAAGGGAGGGATGGCTTAACTGTCAACAAACAGAAGGTCATCTGGAAGATAATAAAAAACGGATTTCACAGGCACTGAATGGCTGCTAGGACTGTAAATTCCAACTGTTTATGGAGCATCTATCAGATTATAGAAGCAACTAGTTCCACTCACCAAAGTAAAAGAATGTCATGTGTTTGCGTTTATTGATGACAGGAATATAAAAATGGGTTGTGGGTATGGATCATTGTCACTGTCGCTAAGTAGTTTAGTAAATATAAAATATGCCAGTCGTAAATCAAAGCATATGTAATAAAGGAAACTCTATAACCTGTCTCTTTTATGTGAACCAACACATTGAAAACACATCTCTTGGTCATATATTAAAACTTTAGGTTGCAAAAATTATCTTGCCACCAGTCAGTCTTTCTTCACTCCTTCCTTGATCCATACTCCATCCCTATCGAACCACAAAATGCTACCTTCACTGAGAGATGTGTGATCCAGCCCTATATAGGAAAGAGTAAAGAAATGACAAGCTTATTTCATACTAGGTTGTGGAAGACTTAGGGGGCAGCCTTATTTCATAAATCGTAGCCATGGGTTGGGCTGAGGTTACATTAGAAAGATATCTGGACAGAAGCCAGGTAGATTTTTGGTCCTCTCAGCTTGCTGGATGAGTTGAGTGGCACTAGAAAAAAATCTCATTACACCGTGATAGGTCCCTTTTCCTTTGTGGCCACTCTGTCTGTCTGCCCTGCTAGCAGTGAAGTTGCCAGCTACTGCAGCTGAAGCAGCGTCTCTGACAGAAATAGGTTTAAGTACATTAAACTCGGAAAACAAGACAAAGAAAATGCTTGCTCCCGATGGCCTCAGCCCAGATAATTGTTTTCTTGGAATGGAGTGTTTTCTTCTCAGAGGTTTTTTTCATAAGGGTTTCCTCCTTCAAATGTCCTCTTCTTATGAGTCACTTTCAGAGCTGGAGTGAGCCATTCACCCAGAGTGGACGAGACAGCATCTTCAAATCACAGTGCAGGCAAATGATAAACAAAACATTTGTGAGGCATGGTCAGTAATCCCATAACTGTGATTGTTCTGTATACTATCTGCATTTCTTTGCATCTCAGATATGGAACTGCTTATTACACTTTATTTTGAGCTTTTTACTGAGCAGCACATGCAGATAATAAAATGGATTTTCAGAGGGCTTACACCAAATGTGGTTTGCATTAACTACAATACAAAACAAATTAAGGCTATGTTGGTGATGCCTGTTTTTCATATGCCTGAGACATATACTTCTGTAAAAATTACAGGGGCCTGTCTGTGGAGTATTTACTCAATCTGTAGTCAGGGAGGGGAAAAAATCCTATTGACGCAAAAGCCTGAAGACAGGACCCGCAAGATTCTTTTCTAAATATCTTGTTTGCTAGGAAATAGACCTATTCTGATGTATTTTTTTAAATGCTGGTTACCCAAAGTAAAATAAATATCAAAAAGCCACAAAAGTGGATAAACATTTCTCTGAAATGAAAAACTTACACAAAAGAGCTCCATCATCAGGAGTATGTTGAGACTACATTGAGGAGTTCTTATTCAGAGTGGTAATTTCATCATGCATTTGGCAAGTTTAAAACTAACACTGAAGTACTGTAGAAATATTAATATTATTTATATAAGTGATGTGTGGGGATGGGAGGGGTTCTTGACAGGAATCTCTGCCCAGCATTGTCAGTTATACTGAAGAACGCGTCCACAGCCTCTTAAAATTTCAGTGTATAGACTTCCCACAATTTCTTTCCATATCGTATGCACAGATAACTACTTTTAATTGTGTGATTCTGGAAAACCCTAGCACTTGTGGTCATTGGTATTATGGTTGACAGAATTAAAAATGGCTTCAATCAAAATGTTTCTTTTGAAAATCGGTTGTAAATCAAGCTTTCTGAGACATTGCGTTTTTTAGTTATTCATATTAAAAGTTATGGAAAAACAAACACACCCACTTCCCTGAAAAACACTGGTTATGAAAGACAGAGAAAGATTCCAAATTGTTAAAGTGGAAGACAACTCCTATTGCTGCTCAATTATTTTGAGCGGCTATTCAGTAATTTTTGTGAGAGATAAGGGCTGCAATCATATACCTACTTATCGTAGAGTAAGTTCCATTGAACTCAATTTATTGTTAGTGTAGCATTGTACTGTACCTGTTGGATTTTATTGAAATGGTATGAAGTGGACATAATTTAAAATTTAGGCAAGGAGGAAAGTTGAAGATGGAGACATGGAACTTAAAGGGTTTCTCTGAAGTTGTTACAATAGCTAATATACTGGAATTGTTTTTAGGTGTGATTTTGCATTTGTAATTTTGTCTCGATCACGATGATGAACGATAATTGTAGGAACAGTTACACTGGATTGTATAGATTTCATAGTTTGATAAACAAATGATATATTGAGAGAGGGCATGGCTAGGCTTCCGGTGCAGTACAAGGTGGCAGTCTAGAGCTTTCCCACCAGCTATAAAGACTCACTGAACTTTGTCCCATGAAACTAATACAAAGCCCTTGCCATCCAGTATGGAATGCTGTCCTGTTAATAGCCTGCTCTCTCCACTGAGTCACTTTAATTCCTTCTCTTGCTCACTGTGCTACAGGAAAAGCCTTACCAGTGCTCCGAGTGCAACAAAGCCTTCAGTCAGAAACGAGGCCTAGACGAGCACATGAGAACCCACACAGGGGAGAAGCCTTTCCAGTGTGACGTGAGTTGGGTTTCCTTTTGATCTATTTGCGTTTAATCCAAAGGTGAACCCCAAAGGGTGCAACCATACCCACGCCAACAGCAGCGATCAGTGGGGTGGCACAGGTAGGGAGGCATTTCTCACCTGGCTTCCCAAGGCCAAATGCCACTGCCAGCTTCAGATCGGGGAAGGGGCAAGGTGTGGGAGATGAGGGCAGTTCAGATGCAGCAGAGCCAGTTCCATGCACCTGCCACCCCACCCACCTCATGTTGTGCTCTTCATGCCTCTCTCCTCGATAACTGGCAGCAACTCTCAGTGTTGGGAAGCCAGGTGAGCAACACTTCTCTTCCTGTACTTCCCACCGACTGCTGCTGCACACTTACCTGTGAGTAAGTCTAACTGAATGGGACTTACTTCTGAGTAAATATATGTTCAAGAAACATTTGCATACAAGGTTGTCAGCCTTTCTCAATCTTTGATTAATTAAAGATGGAGTAGCTAGTGAAATTTCACTCAGACAATTGTTGTTGTTGTTGTTGCTGTTGTTATTACAGTGGTACCTCGGGTTAAGAACTTAATTCGTTCTGGAGGTCTGTTCTTAACCTGAAACTGTTCTTAACCTGAGGTACCACTTTAGCTAATGGGACCTCCTGCTGCCACTGCACAATTTCTATTCTCATCCTGAAGCAAAGTTCTTAACCCGAGGTACTATTTCTGGGTTAGTAGAGTCTGTAACCTGAAGCGTTTTTAACCCAAGGTACCACTATATTTGCTTTGCTTTTTGTTGCTTGCTTTGCTAAGGACATCCTAGTATGTTTACTGATTGTATGGTGTACATAGAATCATAGAGTTGGAAGGGACTAAAAGAATCATTTAGGCAAAGCAGGAATCTTTTGCCCATCATGGGGCTTCAACCCACAGCCCTCATGCTCTACCGACTGAGCTATCCTCATCATTTAAGAATTGTTTTTGCACCATAGCAATTCCTCTGTTTTGTTTAGAGTGTCTGCTCTTTTGACAGTTTAGACTTGGTGATTAACTGGTCTAGGATTATAATTTATTTTATTGCACTGCAAGACATATTAACAGCATAACCCTATAGTTATCCTTTAACAAGAAACTCCATTGAGTTCTGTGGGACTTACTCCTAGGCAAATGTATGCAAAATAAGCAACATTGTGTTGTATAGAGCTTACACCCAAGTAAAGAACAAAATAGATGATATATGAGATGTGTAAATGCATACGGCTTTTTAAACATTTAAATACCAACCTAGGTAAAGGTAAAGGACCCCTGGATGGGTAAGTCCCGTCACAGGTGGATTATGGGGTTGTGGCACTCATCTTGCTTTCAGGTCGAGGGAGCAGGTGTTTGTCTACAGACAGCTTTCCGGGTCATGTGGCCAGCATGACTAAACTGCTTCTGGTGCAATGGAACACTGTGATGGAAACCAGAGTGCACGGAAACGCAGTTTACCTTTCCGCCACAGCAGTACCAACCTTGAGGTCTCCTAGTTCAACCTGGCATGCTAACCCTTTCATCTCACACTAAGGTTCTGTTGAAAATTGAAAATTGCCACCCCTGAAGCTGGTATTCCCACTGCCATTAGAAGCTGCCATTGGTGTCTGATCTCCCTCTTGTTGACATTGCTCTTTAATTATATTTAAAAACACACGAATACAGTCATGCATTTCTTATAATGTCCAGTTTGGTCCTTTAAATAAGTAGCACTGCAAGCTTTAGTTTCCAAACTGCTTGCAATGTCTGTGTCATTTCCCCCATAGCAATTTTTCCTAATGTTAGTGTCCATAATTACATGTGTAGACTCCATGCACACATCTAGAATGTCTATTTAGGGAAACGTTTCTGAGACCACATCTATTTTTGTTTGACCCTGTTTCCTTCTGGTTAGGGAAGTGATGTCAGCTAGAGAAAATTAATGCCAAGTTCACGGCTCTTAAAATACCTAGTAAAAATGCTTGGTTTCATTAGAAATGTTAGCATCAAAAAATTAGGATAGTGGCTTTACATTTTTGGTCATTCCTTTTTCCCCTTTGAGTAATTGTCTAAAGGGATAAAGAATTCTTAAAGTACCATTCTCTGGAGTTTAATTCTACTAGGTTCTTAATCTAATGGTGATGATCTAGCGTCACAAAAGATGGTACTTTTAAAAGATGCCTAAACACATAGGGAGGAGCAGAACCTGTAGCAGTCTGAGAAGGAGAAGACATTCCTTTTTTCTCTGCAATAAATTTCATTTGTGTTAATATGAGTTTTATCTAGAATTTTGGCTAGAAAGGATATCTGCCTGCATGCCAGTTTTATTCAAGATCCTGCCTAGATCATTTGATCACATGCTTTCTTGACAAGGATTTCATGCTCAGATGAGCATGGAGAACTTAGAACAGGGACAGACTGCATACTCTCAAGCATTTCGTAGGCATGCTTTTGTGTACTGCTGACGTCTCCACTTTCACATTGTGGCTGAAATCCTATGCACAACTGGCTGGGAGTAAATCTCATTGAGCACAATGGGACTTACTTCTGAGTGAATATGCATAAGGATCATGGCCAGTGCATCATTCACCCACCTACTATTACACATTACTGCTGAAGTCTCTTCTCCATCTACTGTATAGTGCAATCATTTATCTTTCCACAGCTTGCTATCCACAGGGTAAGCAAAACATACCCTGTCCTCAATATGGACCTCACAAACTGAAGTATTTGTGTACTTGCATGCTCACCAGGGACAACATATATCTGCTCAATCCACAGAATCATACGAGTTGGAAAAGGCCTCAAAGTCATGTAGTTCAACCCTTTGTAGATGCATGAAATCTGCTGTTAAGGCATTTCTGATAGTTGGCCATCAGTCTCTGCCACTAAAGGAGAGTCCCCTAGCTTCCTAGGCAGTCTGATCCAGCTCATACCGTCAAATAGCTTGTAATTTCAAGAAGTGCTTCCTAGCTTTAGTTGAAATCCCATTTCTTGTTATTTGGACCAGTGGTCTTCAACTTTGAGTCCCCACATGTTGCTGAACTACAACTCACATCACCCTTGACCATTGGCTAAGTTGGTTGGGGATGATGTGAGCTGTAGACTAGGAACATCTGGGGACCCAAGGTTGAACAATGCTGATTTGGACCTACTACTTTGGATCACATGCCAACACACTGACCACTGGCTTCTGGCCAAGACATTGGGTGACCTCACTGACAAGCAGCTCAAGCCTAGGGTGAGCAAATTTGCTCCATCTGCTAAGTGTCAACCAAATATCTGAAGATAGCTATCAGGTGACCTCTTAATTGTATCTTCTCCATGCATGGCGCACCTACCTCCTTCAACTTTTCTTCATAGTCTCCAGGTCCCTCACCATCTTTGTTGCCATTATCTGGACATGTTCTCATTCCACATTCAGAGATTTAACTTTTAGAGGCCCAGTGAGATTATTATTAACTTTTTTTCTCTTTCCACTGATTTGTAAGAGAATCTGAAAGGTTCACTGAACTCTAGCAACTAGCATAATTCTGTGAGAAACAGACACCACGGGTAACATGAGGCGTTTCTGTTGTTAATATTAATTCAGCAATTAGCATCGAGAAATGCCTTTAGTGACAAAGATTTAAACGAGCTCAAGTTTCACTTATTGCAGTAAAACACTTTTATGTGCCTCAGGAGAATTCTGCAGTAACAAAGCACCGAGACTCCTGTGCATTAGGAAAAAGATCCTTTTAAAATGTAAATATTCCTTTCCTTCTATAATGACAATTAAATCTAGGGGCAATTCTTCCCCACTCTGCTTTTTTCCATTCTCATCCAAATGCAGTGTGTGGAGACTCTCTCTGTGTGTTTTTTTTCGTCGTCCCCCCCCCCCCCGCCTTTTCATACTAGCTTTTATAATGTCTACCCAGATTAAAATATTGGTTGCGTTCAGAATAATGCAAAACCATGATTTGCAAAGCCAAACCAGGCATTGGCATTATGTTTGAACCAAAGCTGATTTGCAAACCACAGCCTCAATTCATCATGGACAAACCACTGCTAGGGCCATTGCTGTGCCTTAAAAGGTTGCTGCACCATGCAGATGGTACTGAATTTATGAATAGATCATAACTGAAACAGAGGAACACCAAAGTTTATTCAAACACATTCAATTTAATGAACCTTAGGTAGCCATGTTCATTAATTTCAGTGGGTCTGCTCTAAGTATGACTGATTTGGAATACAACCCTAGGTCTGGAAGCTCAATTCATGGTGTGGATTCTGAACTATGGTCTGCAAAGATCATGATTTGGCATGAAGGCTGACTTGAGCCATTGCAACGTTTTTGCCCTGTGCACACTTACCTACAAATAAAAGCCATTGAACTCAGCAGGACGTAGTTCTGTTCAGGCATGTATAAGATTGCACAAAACAGCAGTAGCAAGAAACGTGTCCTGTGTGTGTATAATCCTAATGTTAGCTAGAAATATTGTATGTTTAACTGTAATATGCTTTTATGATCATGGACCTGAATTGCAGGTTTTTATTAGACTATTTGCAAAGCAGATCATAAAAAATATCACCAACTAAATGCATAATAAAAGTTGGCAGGGGCACGGATGAAGATCTCATTGAAATTTCAATAGTTGTTCCATATTTTGTTTGGTTTACAATAAGTTTTCAAAAGCCTGAACAGTACCACTGTTGTATTTAACAGTCTGTAACAATTGACATCTGATGGACAGTACAGTAGTACCTCGGGTTAAGTACTTAATTCGTTCTGGAGGTCCGTTCTTAACCTGAAACTGTTCTTAACCTGAAGCACCACTTTAGCTAATGGGGCCTCTTGCTGCCGCTGCACCGCCGCTGCATGATTTCTGTTCTCATCCTGAAGCAAAGTTCTTAACCCGAGGCACTATTTCTGGGGTGGCGGAGTCTGTAACCTGAAGCGTATGTAACCCGAGGTACCACTGTATTTCATAATTGAAATACATACATAATTTCATAATTGAAATTAACAGACCTAACCTAGTCAT